TATCTTTGAGCAACAAAGCCAGCCCTTCTCAGATTGTAGAGAAACTTCTCTTTTCAAAACGTGTTATTGTCACTTTCATTAAAAATATAACTCCAGAACAAAAATGACTAAAGAATGTGTATGAAATGAATTCCCCGGCTTCAACTGTTTCTGGACGCACGGACATGGATAACTTATGGCTAAACCCTCAACCAACCCAGAAGTGTCGCAAAGTAAAAGTTTATAATCATATATGTAGGATGGAATGATTAAAGCTAGTACTTACAGTATATACATCAGGTTGAGCCGTTAAAGATCACAATATATTGTTTCATTATAATAGATGGTTATTTGGTAACACTTTAACAATAAAAGCATTACAACATTTCAAGTATAAAAATGAAATACCCCGCCCACTTCCTGTTGTATATTGATTACCCCGCCCACTTCCTGTTGTATATTGATTACCCCCGCCCATTTCCTGTTGTATATTGATATGACTGTTCACGCAATTTTTTTAACCGAGTTAACGTATCACTATTAATGTTGGACTAAAAAATAACCTTCATTAAAAATGCTGCATTCCAAAGTGATTGCTAACTGCGGTTAAAAAATCATAAAGTAAAACGGATGCAGAGGGAGGGTCATGTGACACGCCCTCTGATATTTCATGAAGGCGTTTACTGTGTATATACAAGGAACGTATGATGAGTATCACCTGTTTCCTGTTTTCCGTCTTAGATAACAGAAAATCACCGTGAACGAAGTATCCGAATATCAATTTAAAAACCAATGATGAACTTAAAAGTTTGATAAAATACTACATGGGATCGGAGGAACACGACGACAGTTAAAAGGAATATATATATATAATATACATATGTTTATATAGTGATAAATTATTTCTCCGATTCAAATAATTTATTCAATTCAACAATTAGTAAAATCAATGACATATAGCAGACGTAAAAGCACTACAACAAACTTGCAGGTCATTATGTAAAATAAACTAAAATGTCCTTGGAAAATGAGAAATATATCATTATCAACCTGGTGTAACGCATTGTCGTTGAGATTAACTTCCCGATTATCTCCCTTTGCATGATCTTTCTTTTCAGTCACTATATTTTGTTTTGGTTACCTCCCTTTACCTGCTAACCGTAAGATGGTGTCAAGTTTTCATTGAACATTGAAAATAATGTTACATAACATCCACATTTTTTCAAGAAGTAAAAAATATTTGATAAATGTTTCAAACTTCTTTATAGCAGTAATTATGTCAGAGCTATCTCAGCAAGTTCTTTGTTAAAACGTGCAATAACACTAATTTTATTTCAATAAAAAAAAAATCCAAAATTTTCTATGTTTCACTTTGTATCTGATTTGAAAACAATAAAATCGTTTTTTTTACAAAAATAATTAAATTTACTTATTTCAAAAAGCCTGTGTTTGCGCACAGTCAGCTTTTATGATATAAAAGGTTTGGGATCCCAATTATTTACACTGTGTGTCCAAAGTTCATCCATTAGTTGTCCTTTTCCACTTCTGACACTTGGATGGAAATTTTAAGGCCAACTATACATTTGTAATTAGCAAAAGGTAAAAATAAAACATAATTGCATAAACATAATCCATACTCAATCAGTATACAATCACATAGCTGTTTAAAATCATTTACAATACATTGTATATCTAAAACGAAAGTACAATTTAAAACAAATCAAACATAATTGCCAGAAATTTTGAGTCAACAAGTAATTGTACTCTTGTATCACTCTGCTGAGGTTTTTTTTCACTTATCACCTATAATTCTTATCCAGACATGTTAAATTATTTTGTTCTGAATCCGTTTCTAAGGCAGCTGTTTTCCTGGTACATACAGGGTCTTAAAATAATCATTTTGATAACGAGGTTTGAATAAAATATTCTGGGGAGATTAAGCGCAAGAATTACATTTTCCTGAAATTGACATTTTCTTAAGTGTGGAAATCAGAGTTCAGAGATCACAGGTTTTACATATTATATGTCTGTCACTGTTTCACAAACATTCCTTAATATAAGGAAAACTGTTGCTTTTTGCTTACAAATCTCAATTGAAAAGCATTACAGAATATAAAGGATTTTTTCTCTCGACTCCTGTAACAATTTACCCCCGATAAAATTCAATTAAGAATTAGATTCAGTGAAAATCATAAAACAGGGGCTTGGACAAAACTGACCATTACAATGCATTTAAGAAAACAATTCAAACGAAACGCTGGGATTTGAATTGATAAAGACAAAGCATTTCAACCATGAAGAGAGGATGGGACATCAGAACATAATCACATAAAACACTACATGATTACTATAAACATATACTTCGTTATATTTACAGGCTATGTGTCTATATAACTGAATATCACAATTATAAACACGATAATTATTCCCAACAATTCATCATTTCCATGTAAAATCATATTTTTTACTAAAATTTATCCATTTGTGCTGTGAAATGTAATATTCAGCATTGCTACCCTACAAATGTAATATTCAGCATTGCTCCCCTACAAATGTAATATTGACAATAAAAAACAACAAATTAACCATTGCATAACATGTTGAAATAAACAGATATAAAAAAGCCATTTCCTTGCAGAATTCCTGACGTTGTACTCCAGTTTTAGTTAGACCACATGGTTACCATTCAAAGTGATACTTTAATCAAATCACCACTGCTGATAGAGGACATCTGCTAAAGATGGTGACACTGCCACTTGTAATACTGGCACTCTTTTTCAAGATGGTGGTATGGCCACTTCCTACATGTGGCATTCTTTTTCAAGATGGTGGTATGGCCACTTCCTACATGTGGCATTCTTTTTCAAAATGGCGTTATGGCCGCTTCCAAAGTGTGGCACTCTCCTTCCAACTATGCATTGACCACACTAGAGGGAGTGTGAAATCTTATATCTTTGACCTTTGACCCCACTGAAACTTTAGTATCTAGTGTGAGATTACTTAGAAATAGTTCCCCATGCTCAGTATCTTTCAAGTCTGCTAAAATGGAAACTTTAAAAAGCCCATTTACCTCTCGTCTGTATCAGGAAAAGTAATGTTAATGTCACACCCTGGTTTAACCGTAGGACACAGGATGGGAAGGGAAAGGAGGCTACATTCTAGAATCTCTACCTTACCTCTTCACAGCTTTTTTGTTCTTCATAGTTTTTTGGCTTGTTTGAGTGAATGTAAAGCCCTTGAATTTAGTGAATTTCTGAAAAACTTTGTTGTATGTGATATATACTTGTTCTAAATGAACAGTGTTATGTACGTGTGAGGTTGTATGTGTGTGAAATGTGTATATCGAGTGTAGGTAAATGATACCAATGTTTTATCATCCATTCTATCAATATCAATAGCATTTTTCAACCTTGCTTGTCAGAGGATTCAATATTTGAATAGGTGAAGGATGAAAACAGAGGAGAACAATGTAAGTACGCATGCACCGACACCACTTGCCCCTCCCAGGCTGATGGATGGACAATTCGGCCCTTGACAGTCCATTGTCTCTGTAAAACACAAATTTAGGTCGTTACAGAATTCATCAACTGTATCTATAGGTTTGTCCTATGGAAAAAGAACAAATAATAGATGTTTATGTCAGATAATCACCTACATAAATCAGATGTTTGTGTAGCACAAGCTTAAAACTTGTATTGTGATTAGCAAATATCTATTAGCAGAATTCTACAGGTGCAATTTTACTTAGCAGCTATCTATTAGCAGGTATATGTAGGGGTAAGATTCACACATAATGAATACCACACATTTGTAGACAGGTATACTAATGCAAGGTAAGCATATTCTAAAGGTAAAGGGTACTACAGAAGCAAAGTCTGAAAGCAGAATTCAACAAATCAAGAATTCTTTTCATCTTTTCTTCATTGTATAAGAGATGATACTTCAGATGTTAAGATAAAAGTTATTATTCTCATTAAAATTGTAGAAAAAATTATTCCTTTAAAATATCTGGAACCTTTCATCTGTCATATTTTCTATTTGAGTTATTTCCCCCCGTCTTATTTCTGGATGAGAGTTGTTTCCCCTACCATATTTCGGGATGAGAGTTACTTCCCCTTGTAATATATCTGGATGAGAGTTGCTTTAGCAACTCTGGTAAGATATATGATTACAAAAGGTGTTAATATTGCTTCTGCATCCCCTCTTGGTCAATTTTAATATAAATACTCAATTTTGAATAGCTTTTTTTTTCAAATATACATAAAAAGCTGAAATTTGACTGGTTGATTTTCCAGAAAATGGCTCTGCAAATGTACTTTACACATTAAGCAGTTACATTGGTAACAGAAGTTCTTAACTTCCAAGTACCCTTCACCCTAATAGCAAATGGTTATAAACAAAGTTAAGGTGTGAGAAAGTTTGGTACTGTTAACAAAGTATCTACTATAAATCTACTGTGTTTTACCGTCTGCCTTAACAAAAATGTCCACATCTATAAATGAGACTTGTTAAACTCCAAGTCTATACCTGATAATTCTCTAAATTTAAAATCAAATAAAAAATATGTAGCATTATTGCCTCCATATTCTGTAGATGATATACTAAACCTCTATATAAGAGAAAGTGATTAAGAAGTGCAATATTGTATATTTGTGCCATTCTATCCAATAAGCTTAAAGATTGATACTTGAGGTACAAATCTGGTGAGTTCTGCTAAAGTAGGGAGGCCAGATTACTATGTCTAAACATTTTTGAATGATACCACTCTTCACTCTCTTCTACTCGTAAGTGTACTGATATCAATACAACACAAAGGGAGATAACTGTAATGTCTACACAACAGTAAGTGGGGAAGTGGAACAATAGACCAGAGATAAATGCTGAGGGAGAGATCAAGCTGAAAGTGCAGGTACAAAAAGTGCATGACTATCCATCTTCTGTGATTGAGTATTGGGTCCCTCACTTTCTGTTGGTTCTGTATCACACAAGGGGAGGTAACTCTAAAGTAAAGCATCTACACATCAGTAATTAAGGAAGCGGAGTACTAGAACAGATATAAGTGTTGAGAGGAAGGTCAGGGTACAGGCACACAAAGCTTGGGACCCGCCCGTCTTGATTGATTGACAGTTGGGCCCTTGACATTCCATAGTTTCTGTAAGACAGAAGTTGAACACATGTTACACACTATACACACAATCTATCTCACCTGTGGTTCAGAGGGATGTATAGTTAAATTTATCTCTCAAAAACAAAATGACAAATCAAATGAAAAAGTTTGATCAAATCTTTTTTCTTTTCACAATATGTATGGAATTTGCAAGTAAACTATTTATAGCTTTTTACAGGTGAAATCACAGGTGAGAATTCCAATCAATATATTCCTCTTCCATTAAGGTATTAATACAATATAGAAAAGTCAAACATATCATCACACAATATATAAAAAAAATGTCTATGATCCAACCTCAATATTTCCTTTTTTGATTTTTGTTTTTTTCGGAGATTTTTTTATCTTGGAGGTGGGGGATACTTTTCCATCAAAAGAAATCCTTTATTGAATCACAAACAATGGCAGGTAACAATGATACATATTAACCCTGAGCATGTCCAGTCAGAAATAATGAGATTGGAATTTCTAATATTATTACATTATTATCACTGATGTACTGCCAAACTTCAAATACTGACAAAAGTCAATATAATGTATAGGAAAAATTCATTTCCTTTCAACCACCCAAAACTTAGCCCTGGTCAATTTGTATCTATCTTGCAGTAAAACCAAGTCAGCAACACATTGCATTTTACTCAAAGTCAGGGGGTGGGCTTAATACAGGACAATGCAATTTTATTGGATTTTAAATGTAATTTCACTGAAAAAATATGTATGTACTGGTATGGGATCATTATCAGGCACGGGCTTATTGTGAGATAGATAAAGTAATTGGTATGAACGTTATTTTTTGCCAAATTATAAAGACTGGAATTGCTTTCTACATGAAGTTTGAAATCTTTTGTGACAACCTTTACTGTCTATCAATCCAAACTCATCCCTAAATATCATAATGTAACACTTAACCTTATGATTTAAACGTTTGTCGTTATAAATCATTCAGTAACATTGCCAACAAATGCTATTTCAATGTCCTATAATAGGCCCACCTTGACTTTGCGTTAGAGGTCATATGTTAGCTTCCCGGGACAATGGCAGATTATATATATAATACAGAAATTATTACCTATCTTACTAGTGTTTAGTGACAGTACATCAGACAGTACAGGTTTTATTGTAACACAACAAAGCATTTTACTAGCATCGCTTATAATACCACTGATGTTGGTTTGCTAGTGAGTGTGATGCTGAATTGAAACCAATATCAACTTTATTTTTTTCTGATGTTGGTGTAACAATGTAAATTAATATAAAAATGATTAGAATTAATTTTGTTTTTTTTCTTTTTAATCAACTTTCAAGTAACATTGAGCAATCTTATGTCAAACTTAATTGGAAAATAGCCCTCATTCTTTTTCCAACTTATATATAAATTCTTCCAATTCCTAAAAATATACATAGTAATAAATTGATTTGGTTAAGAAGAAATTTATCAAATATTTACTAACAAGTTAACTCTTCATCTCAATTTTTATTTTTCTTCAAATCTGTTTTGATTTCCCTAATTCGCCACCAAGATTTCAAAATTTAGGCCTGTATTTATGAAAGAGTAACAGTTTATAGTATATTTAAACTATGACCTGCAGCAAAAGTTGTTTACGATCAACTGTAACAACTTTTCAAGAGTAGTGTTTTACCTGCTGTAAAAATCAATTCTACAAAAAAATCCAAATTAAAAAAAAAATTGATTTTATATCAGAAAAGGATCAAAGCGGAATTAGCAACATGATGCTAAAAAACTTCATTATTTTTTTTCTGCATAAAATATGTGAAACAATACATAACTTTCTTTTTATTTCCTTTTCTACCCGTTTGATGGCCCTAATGACCTTTTATGTGTTGACGGGCCGTTAAGAATGTTATAATAACAATTTCCTTTTCTTTTTTGTTTTAACTTTCAGGTCAGATGTTATTTTCCAGTGTTAACTCATGTTTTTCCATACGTATAAATCAGTGTCTGTAAAACAAGGTCAATCGTGTCTCCACTGGTGTGGGTTCACGCATTTTTGCCTCATTTTGTGATAAACAACTGTGAATTTAAAAGTAAATTTTCAAAAGTAAATTGCAAAATTTGGGAATTTGGCTGAAATATGAAAGAATTTCAATTATAGAATGGATCCTATTACCAGTCCCATAAAGCTCTGCAAGGAAGTCTTCTAAAACTCTGGATTTTATTCACACTCCAAAAACCAACATCAGTAGTATAGGAAAGGATGTAAGGTTAAAAGCAACTGTATTTGATAGTTACAATATACAGTGTCATTATATAACAAGTACTAGGGGTACACTTCTAGGTCTAATGTGTGTGTATATTGTGACTGTCCTGATAGATATAAAGAGAATGTTTAAAAGCCTGTTAAAATCATCACTACAGAACGACTAGTTTTGAATTAAGTAAAAAGCTTTTTAAGCAAGGTAACGTGTTTATACAGTGCATGAATATGTAGATATATATATATATATATGATAAAATGTTTTTAAAAAATTGACAAATAAAGCCTTTATGTTGAAAAATCAAATTAATTATCTTCGTGAAAAATGAACTTTAATATTTTTGTAATTAGAATTAACAAAACTTTTTAAATCTTTATTTTTATTTTTATCTTTATGGTTATAAAAGAATCTATGAAAAGCTCTGTATCATTGAAACAATATACATACAAGTACCACAATAAAACTCCATTAGACAATGAATAAGTTAATGCTATTTTTGTGTGCTTTAAAAAAAATGGGTTTGTAAAAAACAGAATGATGTATTAAACACAGAAATAAGGCTCGGTAAAACGAACAACCTTCTGAATCAATTAATAACCTGAGAAATAATGCTTTATCATGTAATATAACCATGATTAATTTGTAAGGGATCTTTATCATGTGATACAACCATAATTAATTTGTAAGGGATCTTTATCATGTGATACAACCATAATTAATTTGTAAGGCAACTTTATCATGTGATATAACCATAATTAATTTGTAAAAGCTGAAATTTGTGGACTATAAGTGACTTACCAAAGAGTCTGAATGTGGTTTGGTTGGTGCCATATTTATTGGTTGCGACACAGTAGTACTCTGTATAGTCATTGGCCTGCACGTTCTTCACGGTCAGGACATACCACATGTCTGATATCAGGTTCTGACTAGACGAAAGTTTCTCCGTACTGTAGTCATCCCCGTCGCTTATCTGATACCGTTCACCATTCTGCAGCTTCTCCCAGTGCATGCTGGGAGCAGGGTAACCTAGCAACAGAAACTCAATTACAGAATCTGTCACAAGATCAATGTACAATAGTACACATTCAAACCTACATAATTTTTATTTAATATTATCAAACTCAGCTGAAATATCAACTTTGGCAGGTCTGTCTCTGGGTTTATCACCATGTAAACAGACAGGGTCTTATCAAGGCAGGGTCTGCTTGTTGTAGTTAACACCTCAATAAGCATCACAGGAAAGGCCCATTCCATGCCATTAAGAGCAAGAAACGGGTACACGTTTCTTGTCCATTGACATCATGACAATAAATAAAAAAGAATAATTCATGATCTTAGGGAGACCTATAAACTGTACTTAGTAGAGATCTAACCATACACCTTAGATCTTCATCCGAGGTTGTCTGATTGTCTATAGATTGTAATCAGGTCACGGAAAACAATAATTTCGCATATAAAACACAAAATGGCCTATTACACCCCTGTTTGGGGTATGGATTTGTTGCTAAAAATACCTAAAATCACTTAAAAACTACATTTCTTAAAAATTTTTGCAGCACCTGGTATTTTGAGCCTATATAACCTTTATTACTTTAACAGCCACTGTAACATCAAATTTGTAAGTCGCCAGCACATTCTTTATCCATTTCAAAGTGAAAAATTATTAACCTTGTCACCAATTAATGAAACTTTTAATAATGCAAAAGTTACTGTTTAAAAGATTTCAACTGTTTTTAGCAACGAATCTATACCCCAACAGGCAAATAATAAACCTGCTTGCTTTTTACATGCAAATTTGTAGTTTTCCCAAACCTAGATATATTTCAGCCCCACTTTCCACAATGAATTTTATTAACTTCAAAACCTAATGAAGAGTAGCTGGTGCAGCTGAGTTTTGTGATGAAAAATATGTAAAATTTGTTTTCATTTCATATGAAATTTTATGAAAATCACCTCAAAGTTTTAAATAATTTTGAAGATTGGCAAAATAAAAAACGCATTTGAAATGAAAACTCAATTTAAGGTCTGAACATATTACTCTCAGATGATTGTTTCACCATCGAACAGACCCTGATAAAAGCCTATACATACCTTCCACAATACACTCCAGCTTTGCATTAAATCGTCGATTCTGAGCCTGCCCCACTGTGTTCTGTACAGCACGACAGGTTGGAGAATAGAATATTTTCACCTCGACGGTGAATCTTGCTGGTGGTCGTACAGAATTGTCGGCAACACAAATGTAATTCCCGCGGTCTTTCTTGGTGAGGCTGATCAAAGTTAGATCTGCCCCCTGTAAGAAAAAAAAGATAAATTTCTCCATTTTAACTTGGGAATAACAGGGTAGTTACATCAGATTGGTAAAATAAAGGTTTGGCTGTGTTTATTGTCAACAGTAGGTTTTCTTCTCCTACTAAATTTAGATGATAAAAGTCTAATATAACAAATTATTTTTAAAGCAAACCTCAATTTTCCAACAGCTGCTATTTAAAAATGCTATTTAACAAATTCCCCTCTAGCTCTCTTACAAAAAATCTTCACTTTTTTCATGTTTCCTTATTTGTTTGCGGAGTTAATCAACCAGAACATGCTGAGTTGAAGGAGGCCTACACTCTGTAATTGAATGACCTATTGTGACCCCTATGTTTATATCAGGTTCTATGGTTCACTTCACAATGCTTCATAATACCATGCTACACTGGTGAAAATACTGTATAGAATTATCATGTAATTTCTATTAAACACTTGCATTATTAATTAACTAGTAATTTGTAGAAGCAACACCATGTCAACTCCCTGAATAGTATCATTTAACCTCATTTGCCGGTTATTTTTGTGGGGATGGTATTTTTGCAATTTCACAATACATTAAAGTGATCACAAATCTAGTCTGTGAAATAATGTGCACAAGTATAAAATCTCTTTTTACAACCAAATCACAAAATTTTAATTTGTTAAAATATCTTTCAATTATTTTTAAAAAAGAACTGCAAAAATTTTTACCCGTGAAATTACCAGCCATACAGTACTTATTTATTAAAACATCAGTGAACAGTGAAAATTTAGTCCAGAACTGAAGACAATGATGAACTAGATAATTAACATGAATGCTTCCACTCCCAAGAAGAGTCTGATCTAGTTTGATAAATAGAAAATGTCAAATGTGACCTTTGACCCTTTCACCTTTTACCTATGACCTAGAACTTCATCTTATGATATTATGGATTATATATGAACAAAGTCTGTCCAAAGGTTCTCAAGATTAGACATTACTTGTGAATTTGATGGAACAGGACATGCTGAAATAGGTAACATGTGTGCTTCTCGTGAAAAGGCCATGAAATAAAAAAATTCTAGAAAATTAACCCTTGATTGGAAATTGCCATTAGGGAGTTGACTTCCATCTTCTCTCTTCCATGTGATGTTTGGTGTAGGGTTTCCGGATGTGATGCATTTGAGTGTGATGTTTCCACCAACTGCCCTCTCATAAACACTCTCCATGGTCGTGGACATAACCGGAGCCACTAGCAAATTTTTAATAAAAAAAAAGACATGAGTATCAGTAAAACTGATGAATGCTCCCTGAAAATATTTTATCGGACACAAAGTGCAATCATTCTTTAATCAAAGGGTTTCAGGCACTGAATTTGGCACATAGTACATTCCCTTAGTATGACCGATGTATCCATCAAGCCTAATTATACAAGCTTAAAGGAAAGCAAAGTTATGCTATGGACATAAAATTTTAACAAAGGGCAATAACTCTGTAATAACAAGGTTGTGGGTCCTAACATTGGTTCACTGCACATTGTTTTTGTATTATCAATATATCCACCAAATCACATAACCTAGTTCCAATGAAATCAACTTAAAGTTTTCCTCCATACATACAACTTGAACAAATAAATTCTATAATTAAGGAGGTTGTGGGAGCTAAACTTGGTTCACTACACATCATCTTTGTATCATCAATGTATACACAAAGTTTTATTATCCTACAGATATGCTACAGACAAATATTTTAACAAAAGGCAGCAACGCTCTGAGGGTTCGCGGGCTCTGAATTTGATTCACTGCACATTGCCTTAGTATGGCCATACAATATATCTATGATCCTTGCTTAACTGTGGGCAATGTTACACTGCGGACATGAAAGGAAGGCTAGAAAAAGCAGTGACTATATGTTCCTCTGAAAATTTTCCAGGAGGTTTAAAAAACACAATTAATAAGCTAGTCCAAAGGATGCTACCTGTTACATCTACAATTTACATTTTGTGTTTGATACTGGGTCAATAGAAATACTAATAAACTTTCATGTTAAAATCCAAGATGGCCACCTGTCAGCCATTTTGTTAAACTCAAAATCAAAAGCATTCAACTAGAGACCATAAGGGAGAGTGCATATGGAATACGAGAAAAATCTATCCAGTTCCTCTGGAGAAGCAGCGATGACATTAATTAGAATTATTTTCAAATGGATGGATGACAGACAACAGATGTAGGATGATATAAACATCCCACCACCTGATGTTTGTAGGCTAATTAATTTTTTTCAAGGTTGACAAGACAGGCCAAACTCAGTGCTCATTCTTTATGTATTGCATTAATTACCTACATTTTACAAACCATCTATATCACATTGTAATGACACGTAACAGTTTTTCTTTATCAAAGCTGATCTGAACTCAGCTATAAAAAAAAAGACATAAAAGATACTCAAACAAAAAACCAATGTTTGGTTGGTAACAGTTACTAAGCTGTCTGTTAAAGCTTAACTCTTTGATGTCTCAAACAAAAAACCAATGTTCGGTTGGTAACAGTTACTAAGCTGTCTGTTAAAGCTTAACTCTTTGATGTCTCGAACAAAAAACCAATGTTTGGTTGGTAACAGTTACTAAGCTATCTGTTAAAGTCCAACTCTTTGATGTGTTACCTTGAACCATAAGTTCTCCGAGCTTGCTTGGCCAAGTCTGCCAATTTTGATTCTGTTGGCGAATGTAGCATGTGTAAAAGCCGGAGTCCTCGTCTGACAGGGCACGCACAATTAGTGTGTATCGTATCCGTAGTCCAATTGTCTGAGTGACAAATATCAAATGATCACTAATTCAAAAAGATAAATAAATAAATAAATAAATTTCTTGTTATAGTCAGAACCCATTATGGTAAGTGATCTGCCTTTTTTCCACAGTGTACAGCTCTCTTTAAGTCAGTGCCCTGTCTGTTATTTATTTTTTGTCCGACCACTCCCCTATCAAATAAGTCTTGTAGCACCTTGACATAGCTAGAACTCATACTTATGTCCCTAATCCAGCGCCCCCCCCCCCCAACCCCTCCCCCACAAAGGTCAAGGCTCCGAGATTACATAAATAATTTTGATATGTTGTTACTGACCCATAAACAACTGAAGTTATTTATTCTATGTATTTTAGGATCAAACAACTTAAAATTAGGAAAAGAATAAATCAGTTTGTTCCATAAAACAAATGTGACATGTTACAAATGATATTTTAAGTATCAATGACCCATGCAATTCACTTCACAAAATGGAAACCAAAATTAACTTAAAGTGACAATAAATTCCCTTATGTCTTACCGTATTTTACCGCAAATAAGCCCCCACACCCAGTTAAAAAAAGACTGTCAAAATAAGGGAGGGGGCTTATTTGCGGGCAACTCCCCTGTTCACGAGATGTACTTGTGTCTGCCATCTTGGATTTTTCGTCATAATGAACGATAACTTAGTCACTATGATGTCGCTAAAAGTGATTTTCCTTATGTCTACGGCCCAGTTGTCTATAGATGTGACAATCATTTTCCTTATGTCTACGGCCCAGTTGTCTATACTTACAGTCACAATGATCTCGTACTTTGGCTGCCCCGAGTCCTCCCGCTCCCCCTGGGCGATGTTGTTAGCCACAATGACTCGATCGTCCTCGCTGATATCAAACGGATCGATTCCAGTCATCTTTCCTTTTTGCCAGCACACCTTTAAAGTATTTATATACAGCAATTATAGAACTGATAAAAGTATCACTACCTGGTTACCAGGTATCACATATTTTTTCTGTTGAGTCCACAGGAATCCATTTTTATTTTACTACTGGTATTGGGTAGTTTCTCAAGGCAGCTAAAATTCCCCTAATACAGAATATTACCTTTGAATCTTACAATAAATTTCTCTTTTACATAGGTAATTATAAATCATCATTTTTCTCCTTAAATTTCCTCATTTCGACAGAAATTATTTTTTGATCTTTCAGTTTTATTGTTTATGAGTAAAATTTCATTGATCTTTTATATCTTCTTTTTTAAAAAGAATCTTTCATAATTCTAAAATTGTTTGAACAGTCAATCACAAAATGTTGAAAAACTGTAAATCATATTCAGTTTTGCCAGGTTTCCTTCAGTGGTCTTTTGGGACCCAGACTATTTTCTCCTAGTCACAAAACAGGTACTTTCCCCTATAACCTAGATCAATCCCTGGTCCAGACATGTAATATGACCTTTGATCCCTGGTCCAGACATGTAATATGACCTTTGATCTCTGGTCCAGACATGCAATATGACCTTTGATCTCTGTGATCCAGACATGTAATTTGACCTAGAAAAGTTGTGACTGGATGATGATTCTCAATAAATTTATTGCAACATTAGAACTTCATGGCGTCCTATCTATTGAAAAATCACGAAAAAAAAAGATATAATGTAGGGAGAATATCACCAATTTCTGTTTCATATTGGTCTAATAAAAAACCATTTTCAGATAAGATTTAAGAAAGACAACAATAATTTTGAAAATATAAATGGAAATAAAAAAACAATATTTTACAAGAAATGACAAAGATGTGTCATCAGTTTTCATCATCCATTTTGGGTTTGATGAATTCTGGTTATAACATACCAGACATAGACCAGGTAACCTTACTGTGGCACTGATACTTGTGACAGCTTGTCTATATATATATTACAGTCGGTAAACCAGATTTAAATGAAGGGAAAGTAACTCTTGACCTACCTTCTGAGATTCTTGTTGATTCACCACAGTACAGTTCAGATATCCAGTACTCCCAATAGGTTTCACTTCTGGAATAATCTCACCAACGATTTCAGGTAACTGGCCATAAACTGAAATTATAAAACAGTTTAAAATTTTTTACCTGAACAGGTTTCCGATTGGAATTTTTATGTCTAATCTTGACATTACTTTCTTGGATTGACCAAGTTTACTGTGGGTGTCATCAATGAAGCAAAAGACGCTTACTCTTCTGGAACACATGGTCTTATTCTCCATGTATTTTTCAAGGAGTCTCTGTGTAAATATTTCTTTTGTTCTTATTTTGCCACAGTTTTTAGGAATTTTAGTTTGAATTATGATTATGTTGCCATGTTGGTATTTTCTTGATGTTTCTTGTACATTACATCATGTACAGCTAGCTGTTTCCTAGCAACTTGGCAAAAGGGTGGATATCACTTAAGCTCAGTCAGTAGAAAGTATTACTGATGAAAACTTTGATATAATACCTTAATATCAGAATATTTTTGTGCTCTGAAATTTTTACAAAAATCACTTTTGCAATTTTTGTGTATTTTATTCTCATGATTTGTTTGAAATTTGAAAGCTTCTTATGAAGACACTGGACACATCAGAATGGACATTTTCATTTTCTAATCATGAATACTTCTTTAATACATGAATTGATTCATGACTAGAAAACATTCAGATGTCTGAAGGTACATCAGCTCTATAGATGTATTACATGACTAGAAAACGTTCAGATGTTTGTAGGTTCATCAGCTCTATAGATGTATTACATGACTAGAAAACATTCAGATGTTTGTAGGTACATCAGCTCTATAGATGTATTACATGACTAGAAAACGTTCAGATGTTTGTAGGTACATCAGCTCTATAGATGTATTACATGACTAGAAAACGTTCAGATGTTTGTAGGTACATCAGCTCTATAGATGTATTACATGACTAGAAAACGTTCAGATGTTTGTAGGTACATCAGCTCTATAGATGTATTACATGACTAGAAAACGTTCAGATGTTTGTAGGTTCATCAGCTCTATAGATGTATTACATGACTAGAAAACATTCAGATGTTTGTAGGTACATCAGCTCTATAGATGTATTACATGACTAGAAAACGTTCAGATGTTTGTAGGTACATCAGCTCTATAGATGTATTACATGACTAGAAAACGTTCAGATGTTTGTAGGTACATCAGCTCTATAGATGTATTACATGACTAGAAAACGTTCAGATGTTTGTAGGTACATCAGCTCTATAGATGTATTACATGACTAGAAAACGTTCAGATGTTTGTAGGTACATCAGCTCTATAGATGTATTACATGACTAGAAAACATTCAGATGTTTGTAGGTACATCAGCTCTATAGATGTATTACATGACTAGAAAACGTTCAGATGTTTGTAGGTACATCAGCTCTATAGATGTATTACATGACTAGAAAACGTTCAGATGTTTGTAGGTACATCAGCTCTATAGATGTATTACATGACTAGAAAACGTTCAGATGTTTGTAGGTACATCAGCTCTATAGATGTATTACATGACTAGAAAACGTTCAGATGTTTGTAGGTACATCAGCTCTATAGATGTATTACATGACTAGAAAACATTCAGATGTTTGTAGGTACATCAGCTGTATAGATGTATTACATGACTAGAAAACGTTCAGATGCATTAAGGTACATACAAATTGTATATGAGTTGGTCTTTCATTTAGATGTTATGTTATTTAAATCCCTTCCCATTCTGTACACTTACTATTCTTTTAAATTTTGTAGAAACTGTTACCATAGAGGAACATTTTTACAATATTTAAATGATATTATGCTTTCAGTTATTGTAAAAAGCTTTTGTTGTAACAGTTTTTGTTACGATTACATTTTTCGTCGTTTTTGAAACTTTCAAAATATAAGTATAAATGAGTTATAATAAAAGGTATACATATCAGCACAATTTATAAAATTCAAAAACTATGAAAATTAAATATGTCCTGGTGCTTCCTCTTTCACAACACAACATCAATGTCATTCTGTTGTACTAAGAATTATATATACACCAGCCTTAGAATAGTCTGCGCTTAAACTCTACAAGGACTAGACAGACACATTAAGATGTCAATACAGTAATGTTTGTAGAATTTTATCTCAAGCGAGTCATGAACACAAATCCAAATTTTAAATAACTAAGAGATCTTGATATAAAAGGGTTGTCAAAATTTGATCGAGTCCCACAGAAAAGCATAAGTAGAGGACTAAAATATTGAGAGTCCCAGATATCAACAATGCAATATATGCTAAATACATTATTTTTATCTTTAAAAAGTTAATGAAATGATAGGTGTACTGTATTCATTTTTTCTGCGCACGACCCTTCAGTATCAGAGTATTTGAACTAGTTCAGTATCAGATTTTAGTATGATTGTAATTAACCCCCCCCCCTCTCCCACGTTAAATTTGTTAGATCCAAGCGGCGTACCCTACCGTACTAAACAGAAGATGTAACTAAATAACAATTAATTACATTCTTGCAATTAATTAGGAACTGAAGTACTACATAGACCTAATTAATTCACAGATTATAGTATAAACTGACCTATATTCAAACATAAACAAGAAAACCGGAAATCATTGCATCAAAGGAAAACTATTTCAAATATGTAAAATCAAAATAAAAATATCTATGTTTTTACTTACCTGTCGCCAGGGAAACCGTCACCAGGACAACCAAGAGAGTCCGATACATCTCGGAGAAGTGCTATATTTCGATAAACACAATGTAATGTCTCTCTTCCCCGACAAATTGTGAATCCTCACGATTTAGTCACCCGCCGTTGACCAGAGTGTGGTAGCGCTGTCACGTGACCACAACTTAGCCAGGTGAAACACATATGTCGGGTTGTTTGATATTGCAGAGTGTTTGTAAAAATAATGTTCGCTTTGATATCAATTATATAGCATTGGTTTTTATTTTTCTTGTCCGAGGCGTCGTGGTGAAATGTTCATTTAGTAAATAATGATATATATGACCTAAATTGCGTTGCAGAGTAGCACAGGTGTGCTAAGCTATAGGTAACTGATTTTACGGATCGTTAATCAAACAAACGAAACGCATATCGTTACAACGATGACATCATTGAGGGTATACTATGAAGCGGGGGAATGACGAATGGATTTTTATTTACAAGGATAAACACGTGTTCAAAAGTTCCTTAACAGCTTATTTGTGTTGATAATATCAAGAGAATAGAAATTCTTATAACACAGCCAGTAGAAGATTAGAGTGTGATGTTTTGATGACTACACGGTCACCTTATAGTTCTTATAACACAACCAGTGGAAGATTAGAGTGTGATGTTTTGATGACTACATGGTCACCTTATAGTTCTTATAACACAATCAGTAAAAGATTAGAGTGTGATGTTTTGATGACTACATGGTCACCTTCATCTTATAACACAATCAGTAAAAGATTAGAGTGAGACGTTTCGATGACTACACAAATAACCTGTTTTAAGCTTACTAACACTCACTTGTGTGAACAATACACTTAAGTGAGTGTTAGTACGCTTCACATTGGTCATTTGTCTCATGACAGTGTAGTCAACAAAACGTTACACACTAATCTTTTGCTGGTTGTGTTGTAAGAACTGCTATATTCTACATGCTTAAAAGAAAATACGGATTTTTTTTAATTTCATACACAGTATATAATAGGGACATTACATTAACACGTCCACAGTATTTAAGGACAGCGATATAAGTGCGAGATAATGCCGTATCTTTTCCTGAATGCATGTTTATCATATGACCAATATATGTGTTTATGATTAAGTCACTGATACGATTTAGACCTAACCCAAAATTAAGATTACATACCCAATGTAATTTCAAACCCACACGGTGTTATAACTAATTAATAGGAAAGAGTAATGAAAAATACCCCGCCACCACTGGGGTTCGAACTGATGACCTGTCTGTCTCTAGCCGCGACACTGTACCAAGACTCGACTAAACCACTCCTTATGCCAACAATTAATAGTACATCAAAAATTACGTTCGCGACGCATTGGTCAAAAAAGCAATTCTTTCCTTTCCTTCTTTCTTTCCTTCTTTCTTCCTTCCTTTCTTTCTTTCTTTATTTTTTTTTATTATTTTTCACTCTACGTCCCGATGGTGTATCTTGGATATCAAGCCCATATTATATTTATGATACAGGTACAATACTGATGTCGGGGAATTTGACCAGTCCCTGAGAACATGACTAACTCAGATAAGACTGAATTAATTCGCTGACATCATTGATGAGATCACTTCTTTAAATAAATGACACCCAGCAGAAACTAGATAATAAATCAGTCCTACTCTAGATTGTCACAGAGCTTTCAAACAAAAGTGAATGAATCATTCTGATATAAGAAACGCATTTAGAAATTTTATTTAGAAATCAAATTTGTGATATCACTTTTTAAAAAGTTAAAAATTGTAATTGACGGGAAAAAAATTAAGACAGCAAAACCAAACAAAGCAAAATGAACGAAGGAGACACCAAAACAAAAGGAAAGACAACAAGACAATTTAAGACATCAAAGCCAAACAAAGCAATAGGAACGAAGGAGACACCAAAACAAAAGGAAAAACAACAAGACAATTTAAGACACCAAAGCCAAACAAAGCAGTAGGAACGGAGAAGACACCAAAACAACAGGAAAGACAACAACAAGAACCTGAACTAGAAAGAGAGCAATAGAAACGGAAGAGACACCAAAACGCATTATCCAATTAAACCACCATCGCTCAGACAACTTTGTGTTAAAAGTAATGTACAGTCACGAACCTACGGAAGCGTATTCCGGCCACGTTGTGTTTTATTTTAACTCGAAATTTCGAGTTAGTAATCCAAAATTTTTAGATATTAACCCGAAATTTCGAGATAGCAATTCGAAATTTTGAGTTAGTAATCCGAAATTTTGAGTTAGTAACCCGAAATTTCGAGATAGCAACTCGAAATTTCGAGTTAGTAATCCGAAATTTTTAGTTAGTGACTCGAAATTTCGAGTTAGTTAGTAGAAATTTCGAGTTGTTATTACTATCTCAAAATTTCGAGTTGCCATCCCGAAATTTCGAGATAAAATAAAACACAACGTGGCCGGAATACGCTTCCGTATGAACCCTTCTTATTGTATACAGCTTGTTATTTTAGTTGAAAACTGACCCCGGTAAAACATCTTCAATACACGACGTTGTACCGGTGTCTTAACTATAAATATCCCCTGACAGGTGGCAGGTATACAAGTCTATCGTATATATACAGTGTACAAGTGTTCGTGACCTCGCACTTCTTAAACCGTCACATGTTTACATTTACTACAACACGATGTAATAAACGTGAGAAAAATAAACTGCGGTGTTAAGTCTGTTTTAAATTTTAAAATATATCGACTCAATTTACCACAAAAGTGTCTGTTGCGTTTATTTCATTTTTTTCACGTTGTCATAAGTGTTTCATTTTTTATCATGATTCGTATTTGAAAGTTATATTTGCTTTATTGATCTAGGTCTTCTTGCTGTTTTTATACTGGAATATTCACACACAACT